GTGGGGTTAGCGTCAGTATTAGTTAGGTGCCATCCGCTGCAACTTGTCTACGTAGCCCTATCCAGGTCTACCATCCTCGCAAGCACAAGTGCTACGTTGTATAGCTTATCGCTGCTGGTATTTGTAATACCCATGTCGCCGTTGGCATCGTTAAGTAACTATTAACAGCTGTTTATATAGAAACATGCGACTTTTCAACCTACATATTTGTACATACATATTTTTCCATATGTTTAACGACATTTCGTAGCGTCTCGCTAAACAAAAAAATTACCCCACAGTCGCCTGCCATCCGCATGCTTCGCATGATATCGAATTTTAAGGTACGTGGAATATGAATTCTAAGGTTCGTGGAATATGCCGAATTTCTCTGATTGTGCTCACTCGCTCAAAAATCCAGGCAATCATCCACTGCCAACATCACATAAAGCAGGCTACTTACTCTCTGCATAGTCTTAACTTGCGAAGAAGCCAGCTTGAAAAGTGAGTGCCACATTCGTGCTGAATATATGGCCCTTCTTCCCAGGCCACTGCTTACGTCATTGCATAGCGAAACATAGTGTGAACACGATGCACAACGTAACGTACGTAGTAAAAAAAATGTAAACGGTTGATTCTTCTGTCATAGGAGTCGGTGTAGCGCGAAAGCGAAACGCGCCTTTACAATGTGCGTTGACAAATGAGAGCTTGTACAATGCCCGATGTGGGCATGCCTGCGTTGATACCTGGAGAAACATCTCCATCGCTACGACTAGCGTCAGTGATCAAGATTAAATCTTGGTGCTGGCCGAAGTAGTTGACATAAACCCAGACACAGTGCGCGGTGAATCCTGCGCAAAGTTCGCATCAATAAGCATGTATAGTGAACACATCCGTACTCGATATGAGCTCGTGGAAAGCGTCGTCATTTTAGGAAAACGGCAAGGAGTGCACGCATCGATCATTCCAGCGACTATAGGCGGCGCAGCGGTAGGTCGAAATGGCGAACGAGACGGTGATGTCGCGATCGTGCAAGTCAGCGTCGCAGAGCGTGAAGACGCGTTCATTGGTTCATGACCATATAGTCACTATAGTGAGAGACCGAACTTGTGTCGCAGTTTATCACCGTGTGACAGCTTCGGAGCCCAGCTACATGGCGCCACCTGCGTCACTGGAATGACCGAATAGGAACGCGAAAGTTCACATGTAAGATGTCGGCACCCCATATGACGCGCCAGATTTCTCGACCGCCAACGAGTTCTCTCGTCGCTATGCAGTGTACAGCGTGAATCGCTTGTACGTCGACTTTTCATTTGCCGGGCACAAGTTCGCCCTAATAAAGCTTTCTGTGATTCGCAGTCTCACTGCAGCCTTCTCGAACGTCACAACCCCGAAGCAAATATAAAATACAATTAAGCGCGGGAAATTCAACCAGTTTCCTTTTGCGGACACCGACGAAACAGCGAAGCTGGTTTTCCTACACTCAGGCTAACGCACTTCTATGCTTTGCAAGCATTTCATGTATATGTCGTCTCGACGCTCTTCTTTAAACACGCTTGAAGTGGTAGCCCCGTCGCGGTGGTCTAGTGGCTAACGTTCTCGGCTGCTGACCCGCAGGTCGCGGGTTCGAATCCCGGCTGCGGCGGCTGCATCCACCGATGGAGGTGGAAATGTTGTAGGCCCGTGTGCTCAGATTTGGGTGCACGTTAAAAGAACCCCGGGTGGTCGAAATTTCCGGAGCCTCCACTACGGCGTCTCATTATCATATGGTGGTTTTGGGGCGTTAAAATCCCACATACCAAAAACCTTGAAGTGGTAGTCTGCTTTCATCGCATCTTGACCATGCCCCTCTTATACACAGGTTTACAAGGAACCCTTCGTTCAAGATGCTCCGATATGGGTTCTGTGTTTAGAAAATGTGGTTAACGATATGGGTTGTATCACTGCTCTTTACATACAATCTCTGTTAAGCGTTCAGGTGATAGTATAGCGACCACATTTTATAGCCACGATGAGCCACGTTACAGTGCATGGTGGGACTAAGGCAACGCGCGCTTCATTTTTTGGGCTAACTGCTGTCTTATTCCTTTTTAGGGTAAGTTGCGTGCAGTGGTATTTAACCTATTTATGGGGCACAAGCGGGTTTATTAAATGAGGATAGCATTCCAATAGGCTGCAAAGATTTATTTGGCGCATAGTTGTTTGTTTTTGCTAACTTTTCCTTACTTTTTAGTGGCCCAGTGGTGAGTATATGATGGGATCTCTGTGGCGCATGCCCATTCATGATGCCCACAAGTGTTACCACGGATTCCGGACATCAAAGGCTTGACTAAGAACAGCTACGCTGCTCATATAAAGATACAACTTTCTTGACCACTGCGTCACGACTTGCGTGCGAGTTTTCGTATATTATTTGTTTTCGTGCAAGCTAGTACTTGCTTGTCTTTCTCAGGCAATATTGTCGCTATCATGGCCTTTCATCTCCTGCGCTGGCTAAAGCTGTTGTCCATGCTGCGTGCAGACGCTGGCTGCCCGCCAGAGCCTCCGGAAATCGTGAACGGCTACTACAACGTGAGCGGCGAGGATACCTGCTGGCGCACTCCGTCCGAGGGATCCGTGACGCGCTACTACTGCCTCGAAGGGTTCGAACTGCGGGGTCCTCGGGAACTGGTGTGCCGCAATGGCTCCTGGGTCGTGCCGAGCCCTTTGCTGACGTCGTTAGGGCCACAGCAGGTTCCCCCAGCTGGGGAGACCATTCAAGAACATCATCTGCGGTATGTACCGTACTCCTAAGCATTGCAGAGTTTGCGTCTGTTGAGCACTTCAAAAGTGTATGTTTGGTTCGTCTATATGGCGTCGCATTATGACGCAAGTTCATGGCATCGTATACATTCTTGTTCGTAAGTGGACCTATCCCTATGCACTGCAAGATCGGGGTAATTCCGAAAACTTTCAATGCATCCCCTTCCAGAAGCAGTGAAATCATGTTCGGCGCAAAAAGCCTTCGAGGCGAAGGGGTATGTTGGCAGCAATACAATCGGTTGGAAATGAAAAAAAAACTGTCATGTTAGACAAAGGCACAAAGAAACATGTTATATCCTTCATGATTAAAAAACAGCTAGAAATGAAAGCATTATTAAGTAAAGCAGGAAACTGTCCGGCCGTCACCTTTCTTGTTTTATATTTATCGCTCTAAAATTCAACTTTATCAACGAGTTTTCCTCGAATAGACATGTGTTTTATGCAACAGTACATATTAAGGCAGTGGCATTTTATCCGCAATGAACCAACATATTTGCACAGCGCAAGAAAACGAGTAGTTACAGTGTAACTATACGGAAGAAAGGAACATAGACAGGAAAGAGCGCTGTCCTGTTAGTGGAGCTGCTATTTCCCTTCAGTGTTTCTTGCTTCCATAGTTACTGCTGTACTATTCATTTTTGTTTGTTTTTTGCGCTGTGAAAACACTATGATTCCAAGTCACCAACTAGCCCAGTCTTATCAAGTAACATCGTTACATGGCCGCCGCTCGAGTTATGCACGGTTCACGTTGTACACGTCAAGTTCTTGCACTATGGTCTTTAAACAACATACTTGGACGCAATCAAGTAAAACTGCGTTTTTCTTTCTTTTATTTCAGAAATCAATGGCCAAGCCAAAGTAGGATGGAACACTTTGCTCACTGCCATCACGACAACACTGCCTGCCATGATGTGTCTCTACCTGACGTCCTCCTCGACGTAGCACCGTCTGTGGCTCGTTGCTGGCTGCCACGGTGAACGGTAACAACGTTGAAAAGCGGCTCGAATGCACCGCCGCACAAAACCGGAGTAGAAGAATGCGCCACAAACCTGTTGGTTTCTCTCTCTATGGCGCAGCTCGAAAGAAGTCCGCTTCCAAGAGTTTGCTTCAAGGGACATCACCGGGACATCTCCAGGACATCAGGACCTTAGAGACGTCCAAGGGACATCTTTCAAGGGACCTCACCAGCGTTCCAAATTATGTGCACAATGCCCCCTTTTTGTGTGCGCGTATTAGCCCTCGTGGACACCAAGGAAGTTCACTGCAGTCTTCAATTAGTGAATTAGTGCCAGCTGCTTTGTTGAGTCCTTCAGGCTGCGTTTTTCTACGTATGCGTGTGTGTGTGTGTGTGCGATGCAAAGCCATGCCTCCGCACTCCTATGAGCGTTCACACGGAAATGGTGATGGTAAATAACTGCACAATGGGTTTTAGAAACAAGTTCAGGAGCACGTCGAACACAATTAGCTAGCGTCCAACTCCCTTTGTTATTTCTGGCATTGCGCTGATCATAATGAGAAAACTTTAAACAAGAGAAAACTTCGCTGGTTCGAAAGGAACGTTTTGTAGTTGGGAAGTAAGCCAAGGAAACACAAGTCACTCCGTTTCTGTCATTTTAATTCTGGTTTCATCTGCTTTCTAGGCTTAACAATTTGACACGATTGATTGCTTCAGCACGGGAGGGCAGTATAGCGGGTGAATACACCGGAATGAAACGCGCATGCGCGATGGTGTGTTGTCTTGGTTGATAAGAACAGCCAAGACCTCTCCTGCAGTGCATTTATTTTCTGATATAATACGGTCGTCAGCGATAATCATCAAGAACTGTATTCCCCTTCAAAAATATAATCAAGGCATCGCAAGAATATCGCTAAAGCACTTATACTTCGTTCAATTATCGCAAAACGTCGCCACAAGTGACATTCGCGGTCGCCGTTACAACCTTTCCTGATACGTCATCTCGATATAGGTTGGCCCTGTGGTGCGCCTCCGCTTTATGCTGCAACTTGTGCACCATTGGTAGCACTGTATGACTTATTATTTATTTATTTATTTTACTCTTTAGGGCATAGCGCCGAAACTCCACGTGCAATAAGAACAGTGCGATTCAAACTCCGTGTGATCGATACGCTGTAAAGACGGCCGCATCTGGACTTGTACGTCTGGGGTGGTGGTCAAGTTAAGTAAGATGTATAGGCTGGATGCTCTGAATTTAGGACCTAATGTGTAAGGTGGAGCTTCACTTGCTCATGCGACAAACTGTAGCAGTCACTAATTATGTGGTATTATGAAGCTACTAAAATGATGAGTTGCTTTCTTGGGATAAATTCAGTGGCAGTTTTCTCTTGGGTATCGGTTTAGCGAAGTGCACGTTTAAAGTAGCACTTATACGCTTGAAAGTTTAACGCTATAGAATGTCTCTTCTATAGTGTCACGGTTCTTCTTTTGTTTTTCGAGCCTATATTCATAAACTGAACGCTGCTTGTCTCCCCATGAGTGACACGCATGCCAAAGCATGCATAGTTTCAGTTGCTGCGTGTTGGAATATATTGTAGCTATCTTATCTGCTGCTGATGTTCTTCACGACGAACCCCCATGCATCTTCCTGCACAACCTCAACCCAGTCCCTCATACTGGTGTTCGTCTCATACTGTCTCATAGTAGGTGTTCGTCTCATACTGGAACACGAAGAAGTTCCGGCTCGATAAAGTATACGAAGTTCAGCCAAGAACGGAACCTAGACAGGGAAACGACCGCATGTCAATGACCATTCAACCAAGTATCTGTAGTTCAAAGTAGTCGGGAAACGTTTTGTACTACTCCTCTAACAGAATAATACGAATGGCGAATTTGACCCTCATTATGTGGTGATTGTTAATGAATCATGGGACTTCAATAATTAAATGAATGGTGCTCATGTGACATGGGTGGAAAGCCATTCAAGGTTTGGCTCTACCCCCTGGATTCCGAACTGCGCCTGTTGTCCGACTGGCGTAGGTCGACCCATCGCAGTACCAACCCTGTGCACGTGCTCTCCGAAGAAACAAAGACTGCGCCGTAGTGTCATCTCTCCAGTGCTGTGCGCAAGAACACTATATAACAAGAAATTAGAATGTAAAGCGACACAAATACTGCATTTGTGGACTCTCTAAGATAGTGACTGTCCCATATTAAACGCTGGTCGTGAACCCTAAAGAGATTTCGAAGCCAAGACGCCGTCTCGGGCTGCAGTGTGTGCTCATGGTGAACAGGTTTGCCATTCTCTCATGGCCTGCCATAAAGTCAAGAAAGGTCCTTCTCTTTTTCACTTTCTTCTATCTCCCTTGCTTCTTTGTTTGTTTGTTTGTTTGTTTGTTTGTTTGTTTGTTTGTTTGTTTGTTTTGTTCGTTTTTTTTGACGGACGTGAATTGTTGGTTAGTTGGTTGTTCCTCAGAGTCCTAGCACAGCCCACCATGGGGGATCGGCCATGAAACGGACGGTATCTCATTTTTGAGATTGAACTGTTTTAGCAGCCGGGATATTTGGATAGGGATGCTTAAACAGTGAACAGATTGGTGAACGACGGATTAGAAGTAGAACAAATAGAGGTAATAAAAAGAAAAACCCAACAAGCTAATATAGTTTGAAATAAAGTGAAGTTGTGCCTCAGCTTAACATTCTATTTGTTTTATTGTCTGTAGAAAATCACATACGGCCTCGCAAACATTCCTGTGGCTAAATCCCTTTTCAGTTGCTCCAAAGAAAAGGATCACCGGAAGGGATAAACTTAAAGTCAACCTACGGAGAGGTATGGAATGGTGCCGAGAGTACAGTAAATTAATTTCCTCTTCCACTGCCTACGTGGTATCGTCTCTCTTCTTCCTCTCATTCACATGAGGCACTGCGTCGTGCTCCCTACCGGACTGCAAAAACCGGGCGTTTTTTTTTTTTTCGTCTAACCATAACCATCACCCTTCACATGATGTCACTTCGCTTGCTTGTTGTGTTCTCCACAGTATACGGTGTTGCGTCTGTCTCGGGTACTCCATTTTTCGTATTACTCATCAAACTGTTCAGGAGTTCTGACCAGCCGGCAACAACAGATAAGGAGTATTTATTATCACCTTCTTTTGGGGTCTGGAAAGCTCTAATTACCAAAAATATTAATAGATATGCACGTTCTTCGCACTCGGTATTTCGCCAGGGATATTCCTAAGGTGCTCTTCGTATGAACTTTTAAGTCAAGCATAAAAACTGGGCTTTACACAAAACCGATACAAAGCGCAACTATGAATGTTCTACGTGCATAGAATACTATTTGAAGTGGTGTTTAAAGTGTGAGCTCTACGGGAATGAGTCCGCTATAGGAAAAACGTTTGCGGGGGCAGCTTTTTCCGCTATAAGAAGCATTATACGATGCCCATTCAAATAATTGTTACGTCTTAAGTCACTGAACCACAATACAATTATGAGAGACGCCGAAATGGAGAGATACAAAAATTTGGGCCACTTGGCGTTTGTTATTGTGCACTTAAATCTAATCGCAGAGTCAGGGGCATTGGCAGATCTGTTTTTTTTTTTCCTAGGGTGGTGGGAAGGGGGCATGGGCCATTGACTTGAAGGGAGGAGGCCGGACCGGCAAATGGTCATTTCGCATCCTGTATACTATGGTAGAAAAAAAAAATTCAAGGCGATGGGGGGCACGAGCCCTGTGTGTCTGCGCAACTGCACACGGGCCTCCATCCTTTCGCCTCCATCAAAATGCAGCTGCCATGGCCGGGATTCGATACCTCCACATTCGGGACAGCCGTCGAGTACCAAAAGCACTAGATCATCGTGGTTTTTGCTGGTTGGTGCTCAGTTCGACAGAAAAAAAAAAACGCTTTTTAATATGTTCTAGAATATGGGTATTTTCTCGACTACATAGCGTGAAGGTAGATTGGGAGGAAAAACGTTGACACATCACAACAGGCAAAGCGTTAATGATGAGTGGACGTGCATGCATATAAGTGATGGATATAAGTGGTGCAGGGCTATCTGATGCGAAGTCGTGGAATGTAATAAAACTACATTTAACTAGCGTGGTCAAGATCAGAGACCCGTAGAATAAGTGGCGTAGTCGCCCACAAAGCACTTCCAACGTGCCTAAAAGTCGCAAAACGCGAGGCTGCTTCATAAAGGACGACCAAAAAACGTAAGGTAAGTTCGAAGAGCATCGGATAATACAGCAGGTAATACAGACCAAGAAGACATTCGCAAGTGCGGCATGTCATTTACGCGAGCTCAGTACTTCACGTATACGCGCTTCCGTTTTCTTGAAAGTCCGCGTGAATCAATGCGATAAGCTCTTCATCACCAGCTGGCATGGGCGTCGGCAGGGAGGTGCGAAAGGAGTGCTTCCCTCCTCAAGCCGCACCAGCAGCCCCCTTCCCACTCCTACAGCCACGATGCAGAATGGGTTCGCGTCTCCCAAGGCAAATTCTGCCGACGCCCAAGCCAGTAGGTGACTGGAAATGTTTTGAGGTCAGTATGCTCCTGAATGAGAAAATAATTTTCCGTTTGGCTCAGTGCCGAGCCTTCAACGTAGACGTCTGCACAAGACAAACTGACATGTTACTGTTCAAACAGGTGATACGACAAGCAAAGCAGCGGTGGTGCAGGTACGAGGACTAGAGTTAAGTCTTAGAGTACAAGCGTGCGCAGTGTTAGTATTATACATTGCGGGAGGGGGAGGGGGGGGTGCGAAGGTTCATCGCAGAGCTCCCCTTATTATTGAGTGAATGTGTAGGGCAGATTTTGCGCATCTCACTCGTAGCCCCCCCCCCCCCCCCCCCCCATGCACGTCTATTTCTAAAGGTATCTCAACATGTCTCCATCAGACATGTCATCGAGTGTATCGTCTTCAATGCAATCTTGTCGGCTGAGCTAGCAATATCAGATATGATAAGTAATCTAGTTGCAGAGCCGGGTCCTTGTTTTGTCACGTTGAGTTCTTGGAGATCTTTTTCTCTTAATGGTTTATTTTTGAATCCGCAATTACATGGATAGTATTACTTAATGTGTGGATTAAGTCGGTAGTAGGACTGTAAAGTTTGGACTCCCACGGGACTGGCTTTCGATCAAGCCACAAAATTGAGGTCTGATTACCATGCAGTACGTTCTACGTTGTCTGATGTTCAATTCCCACGAATGAAAACCCAAAAAAACACGACACGCTTTCACTCAAAATTCAGGACACCATTTTTTCATAGATATCATGTGTGTTCATCGAAGAGCCAACAAGTATAGTGCATAGAACTCGTTCACTTACCATGGTTCAGGTGCATAGCCAGATATCTTTTTCAGGGAGGGATTCAACCATTTTTTATGTATGCTCGTGTGTTTGTTTGCATATGCGCGTATATAAATATACCCAGATCGAAAGACTTCAGTGGAGAAGCGGTAAGTGAACACTCGAAACCACTGGCTATGCCAGTGCCTTGCGCTATAAGTACCGTAGTTAGTCATACGGAACGCCTGTGCCACTGTCCCATGTAGAAATGTCACGGCACGGTGTAAGTGACGGAGCGACAAGTGGAAACTATAGATTGAGGTCGTCTTCGACAACGTGACATGAGTGCACAGAATCGCGTATGACATTTGTCTGTTCTGCCCTCTTGCAGCTAAAAAAAATTAAAAAATAAACAATTGTTTCCACTGCACGTGCTTTTGAATATCCCGCCACAATGAAATGTTGACTAAATCGACTAAAGCACCGTCAACTTCTTAAAAGTGTTTTCAAAATTACAAAAACCAAATTTTTTTAAAACCATGTTTTGTGAGTTTGTCTGTGTTGAAATTTTTTTAACCGCGAAGAAAGAAAGCGTTTGCTAGTCTTGGCTTGGCTTGAAAACCTTCTTTTAAGTAAATAAGAAGATAAAACGAAAATGCGAAACGACAAGTTGTCCTTCGTGCTTCGGCAGTTGCTGCGGTTGCTTCTTTGCGGTTGCCGCCAAACACTCTCGCGAGGTGAGGGTGTGACCGTAGGTGCTGCGTGTGTATTTTGTTCTTGCTGTTTTTGTCACCGAGACAAAAGCGAAACGCGAAGCGCAGCTTTGGGTCCCGACGACAGTTGGTCCGCTAGAAATGACGACCTAAACGTTTTGAACGGCCGGGTTTCTTGTGCAGTGCGAGCATGACAACCGCCGAAGAATCGAAGCTAGTCGACGCGAAAGTCGTTTTGCTCGGAGCGTTAGGTCAGTTTTGTTTCATTTCTCCGTGAGCTGCTCTGGCGCTCTCTAGCTTACACCTTTGTTTTCATTGTGACGCGGTGTTTTCTGCTTTGTCTGCTAGCGTGCATGCTCTCTGACCAATCTTAAGGACTTCATTCGCGCGTACAGTTTTTGCTGTGGAACGTCTGATGGTTGCGTTTACCCACTCGATTGAGTCATCGATACGGGTACTGCTTAAAGGCAAACGTGTTTGTACGCGAATGCTGCGCGAAACTCCGATGAACAGCGTTTCTTCATCCCTCAGCAACGCTCGAAAGCGGTCTCCTTTATTGATAGTGTGTGACAATGAGCCAAGAATGACTGGCTGAAGCACGAGACTTCGCTCGGGTAGAGTGCACGCATTCTCGGAGCTGTGATTGTTTTGTAATTTGTATTTCAATGTTTTCTTACCAGCTGTAAGGAATCGCAACTTGTGTCGATCACAACAGCTCAAAATTGTCCCTCTCCTTAATGAAATCAATTGAAATGAATCTCGGGAAAGCAACAGGTGAATATATGGAGCAAACGTACGACTACAGGACTCGTTTTCTCTCAGGGCGCCCTGACGAAGACAATTTCTCTTAGTTAACTTCGTCGTAAAAGCAATTTTTCACGTAGCAGCATTGAGTGATTTTGCGAGCTCAACGTTCTTGTTTTGATTTTCAGGTGTCGGTAAAACGAGCCTCATAACAAGGTATTCTCAAAAGAAGTTTATCGGTACAACGTCTCCAACGATAGGGGCATCCTTCACAACACTTAGAGTGTAAGTGAACCCATTGCAAGTGCTCGTAATCAAAAGCAGGACACCTCAGTTAAGGCGTCATCAGTGTAGTAAAACATCATGCATAAGACTGCAAAGCTATGCGGGCCTTGCATAAAATTGTAACAGTGATTTGCCAAATCATAACTTGAAGGGAGTACCTATTTCTGCTTAAGTATCTGTTTTCAATGTACAGCTCTGATAACATGCTTAATGTGATGGTAAAAAAAGTGCTTGCGCTTGCTGTGGAACTGGCATAGCATTTTGCTACAGTAAACGCACATTACATGTTGTGATATGTCACTCTGCTTACCTATGAATTGCTAATCAAGCTTATAAGCTGCAATATTTTCAGGCTTAAACCACTGTTTGCTTTCGAAGTCTGAGGTCGTGTATTGATAACGTGAAGTCATAAAGCTGCCTTCATAGATGTCATTAGATTGAAGTAGCTTAACTGCTTTCCTATCTAATAATTTGCCAAAGTTAGGTTCCTGCATGAATCTCACACCATTTGCAATCAAGAAGTATTAATAAGGCTGCCTAAGCCACAGTTTTGTATCGAATCGTTTCGCTGTGTCTTTTTTACTATTTGTGAGTGGCAGACATTGCAGCGTTGTGGTGGCCCTTGATAGGCCCATAGTAAATATTGTGTGGGAGTGCTCGGCTATTTCTCATTTGAGGAGAGTGTTAAAAATAAAGCAGGTTAGAACTCCCAGTTCTTGAGCATCCTTATCCTTATGCTTTTTTACGCTGCCTGCCATAGGCTGTGTTACACTATCTTCATCCAGCTTGAAGTGTAATGACTAAAGATTGTCTGTAAATGTTGATTACTTTATTTTCAAGCTATGTTTACCAAAGGCATTTAGCACAAAGTTTAATTATACTTTGGTCTTTCAGCATGGAATGCTTGCTTGTGTGACCTGCTTCTTGTGTTGTAGTACTCCGACTATCTGAATTAAGTCAGGCATTTAGTCTTGAGCGTCTTGTTTTCTTGGTAGTATGTGCAAAAGCTCATGCACAGCTGTCTTGCATAATTGTTGCACCTATTCTGATAACATTAGTTATTGTCATGAGATTTTTTTGGAAAAGATATTGGTTAATTATATTGGTCTTTTGCTTTCATTCAGATATCGCCAATGGCAGGTGGCACAATCCTGTGCCTCGACTCGCATTGGTCAAAGAAACACATAATGTGCTGAATGAACCTAATTTGTAAAGCTCATGAGTTAATGTTTTAGCTAATTACTCTATGGTTAATGTTGAATTCTTCCGATTTCAGCAAGGGGACCCACGGAGTGGATTAGATCAGAACAGATTCTGAGGATATATTACGTTGCATTTTGATAAATTAAAATATGTGGTGCCTGTAACATCTTGTTTTTTTTTACTTAGACTCCTGTGTAAGGTGTCTTTTTCAGACAAGTATTTATTTAATAAAGCATGAAAATATTAGCATCACATTTCTTTTTTTTTTTTCTGGAACATGTTGCTGGAGGCCTGTTAGCCATAACATGGTACATCGTTGGCTACAGCTTGCGACACATAATAAATTACAGGCTCCTCATTGCCGGCCAGTTTTAGTTTTGATTTAAGAGAGCTCCAAAAACTACAAGCTTCCGAGTGAAACTGGCCACCTAGCGTGTGAAACTTTCGACCATGTCTGCACACAGAACTGTGATGCACTTCTCCACAGTCGACATCAAGATGTTCAAACTGAGAACGAAACGGCAGTGTCGCCAAACACAAAACTTTTGATGCATCCTCCGCAGCCACGGACGCGGGAGCAACTGTTGAGTAATAGATGGCCTGCTGGAAAACACGGTAAAATAAAAATGTCAGCTGTGACGTCATAACTTGTTGCTGAGTGGTTATGTCAGGGAAGTAAGAATTCGCCAAGGGTCACCTTTGAGGGGCTCAGCAGTGCGAAAGAGTTGATCGCTCATGCAAACTTAAAAATTAACTTAAAATACCTCCCAAGTTATATTACCTGCTGATATTTTGCAGATGATATGTGCATGTTCATGGTGATCGATCCAGCAGGCTATCTTGGCCACGTAATTTAATGTCAGGGCCTCTTTAACAGATGGTGTGCCTGACCCGTCAGCCCAATTATTCTTGCTTATTGGAGTATATCACGAGTGAAGCTCATGAAGACATCCCCCATCATCTTCTTTGTTTCTAGACAACATTATTTAGCACTGAATAATATGTTTACTCCTTGCGTCTGGCACTGTTCTTGGTAAAACACTTGCAGCTGTGAATGTTTTTGAACCGTTCACTAACAAACATCTCATTTTGTCGTTGTTGGTCCTGCAGATATTGACATCATTTGTTGCAAACATGACACCATAAGAGAGGATTATGTATCCAAGCCTTTTTCCATTTCTCTTAGTCTTTCCTTAAGTTTCTTTATTCTTTCCAGGAATGTGGGAAATACCAAGGTGAGAATACAGCTGTGGGACACAGCAGGCCAAGAGAGATTCAGAGCAATGGTAAAGTTTATTGGTTTCATTCTCGCCTTATAATGTGAGGCAGTTCTAATTCTGTGCTGCATTGTTTGGCAGCATTGATTTCACACTAATAACTGCTTGCTTTGAATCAACCCTTCAAAACATGATGCTTAGCACCATTTTCTAACTTCTTTCTGTCTGTTCCTTGATTTCTCCTTTATTCCTTCTTGTTAACATCCATCATGGATTTTTCAACCATATTTTTTTGCTGCATGTAGAATTAAGGCAGCGCCGAGGAGAATCACTTAGCTAGTTTTGCTTGGCAACACGTGCTTTGAAAACTGCATATTTGCAAATTTTTCAGGAAAAGGTGTATTACCTAAACCGAAGGACAAAAGTTCCACTTTATTTGTCCTTTTTCTAACTTAGCCCTTACACTTTCATGCCAATCAGTCGGTGTTTTGAGCTCTTGGGACTTACAAAGTATTATCTTCGGATCCTGTGATATACACAGTAGTTCAGAACAACAGAAAGTTAAGCTTCGTGGTAGAAATTCATGATAAAACAAAAGGCGTGCAAACATGGACAAAAAAGTGTGGACAAATCCCATGACGCTTACATTGCAGTGGCGTTACGGTTATTAAGCTGTAACATTGTGGCAGCATTCCCTGTGCATTCACTTGGATTCGTGACCACTTTAAATTATTATAGTCACTTGGTATTGTTTGGAGTCATGGAGCTATTACTGTGAAAGATCAGCTGACTTGCTTGCAAGACGCTATACTCTAACACTTTGTGAGCAAGATTGAGGTGCAGAAAAAGGCAACAACAACAACAAAAAAAGACCCTGATTGTCTGACCTAATCCAAGCTCGATAATGCTAGTTCATTCATTTAAAAAGCATGGTTGGCTGCGAGTGTTTGCCAGTGAGCATCAGCCTTATTACTTTACATCAGCTCACATTACTAGAACACTTTTCATTCACTGTGAAGCTAAATGCTATCATTACAAAGCCTGACATCTGAAGGCACGTTTTTGAAAGCTAGTTCCTTAGGACTTCATTTAAGTACTTTGAGTGTTGCCCGTGGCACGCCGTCACATCATATATATAAGCAACACGGAACAAAACAAAGGGAAGTCCATATCAAACGTCTTGCTTCAAGTTTTGAAATCTGTAACAGGAAGTGTGCACATCCTGACAGTTTTTCATTTATAAGGTTGGGTTCTCTTTTTTTATTTACTCGCTCTGCTATGTATGTGCCTTATCTACATAGTAAGATACTTGTAATATCTGTATATCTCACTCTCTTCACCATTTTATAAACTGGAAGCAAAACAAATGGCCTTTGTTGTCAAACAGAGGTGTGCTACTGTGAATTTTACAAAACATCTTCTTAATGTTGTTTTTTTTATCATTGTCATGGTGTGCTTGGTGTTATACAATGCTATGGATCAATGTAACGTGCCTCATAATCACAGCATGGTTGTGGGATGTGACAGCCCAGAACTGAAATGTTGCTGCTGCTTTTGTAAATAGTGAAAGTTGAATCTGGTGGCTGTCATCATCTGCTTTTTCAAAGTCACTTATCTATCTCAGTTGTGTTCAGTGCAACAATGTAAGTTGCTGGGGTGATGCATACTCTTAGTGCATATTGAAGTTTATCGAGTGTGACTGTCTATATTAAGTGTTATATTGAGGCTTGTCTATATCAACGAGAAATTTATTTTCTTTTGGGCTTGCAGTGGATCTAGATCTCACTGAAATTTTGTACAGAAATAACATTCTAGCATTAATATATTTTATGAATATTTCCTCATCTAATTTTTTGGAAAAGAGCAGTCACTACTGTCCAGTGTCATATGCACTTGGTCACTGCAATCCTTTCTCACAAAGGTGGTAGGTGTATGTGCCACTTACAATTTTTGTTGGAGATGTAGAGGCGATCTCGTGAGAAGCAGACAGTGCTTAAACCGCTGCACCACTGCCGTTGAATTCACTGTAACGTTAGCAGGCAAGCTTGAAAAACTAAACCACAAATGAAAATGTTCTGGTGGAGCGGCTGCAGCAATAGCCAGGGTACACTACCCTTCCTCGGACGAATCTCCTCTTCATTCTGACTTCCTATCCAGAGCAGTCTAGGTTATTCTCAGTCACTTGCTAATGCTCCAATAGCATTACCTGAATACACTTTCTCGACATTTTGGACGTGATAGAACTGCACAAAAAAAAATCTGCTTAGGCTAGAAGGAATTCTGATGTTACCATCAACGTGCAGAGCTCGCCCTGTAAGGGAGCCATTTATGCTGTAATAACGAAAAATATTTTCCAGAGGTGTATGAGTGTTCACTGCATTATCAAAGACAAAATCTACTGGACTGTGTGATTTCTATGCAAAAAATATGAGTGATTGAGAAGACATGAATAAAAGAAAGATTTTCAACATTTCTCAGAACACAGAAAGAGTTTGTTGCCACCAAAAACTTGTACTTGCTTCTCGGTTATATTGAACTTTATGCAACCTTTTTACGGTTCTTTCAAACATGCAGGCACCTTTGTACTACAGGAAGGCAAATGCTGCCATTGTTGCATACGACATAACTTCTGCCAGCAGCTTTGAAGCCATGAAGCAGTGGGTTTTAGGTAAGAGCCTACCTTTCCAAGCCATGATTCCAAAGATGTGTCACAATGTTTTATACATCATCTCTGTACGATTTGACACTGACCACTAAGCTTTCCATTCCACTGAAAAGGATTGCATAACATAAAAACTTATTGTCATCCCCTTTATCAAATGAATTTTGCATTTCACTACTTTGCCTCCCCCCCCCCCTTTTTTTTTCTCGCTCTCTCTTTGAGTTACTAACAGCTTTCCACAAAATTATAGTGTGTAAAGTGCTGAAAAGTTTTTGGAGTCCACCTTGGTCACACAGTGGTGATAGTGCTCAGTGGCTGACCCAAAGGTCGTAGGTTTGATGCCAGCCGTGGCAGTTTTATTTTCGCTGAGGCGGAACACTAGAGGCTTGTTTACAGTGTGATGTAAGTGCATGTGAAAGAACACCAGATGGCCGAAATTTCAGGGGCCCTCCACTACAGTGTCTTTCATAATCATATCGTGGTTTTAGGATATAAAATCTCAGATATTTATTATGAAAAATTTCGTTACCGAAATATAAAAAGTGTTTCCTGATAGCATTCCTTTAGCAAACATATATAACAAAACAACTTTGTATATTAACGATTTCTTCTTCTAAGTGCGTAGCACTTCTGGGGCCCAGCTTGTCGTCCATCCATTTCATGTGGCGTCATCACGTTCACAGTCGGACGCTCGGTGCAGGCCTAAAACGAAACTTGCAATGCTCGAAACCAGGTTACAACAAACTACAAGGTAGGAAATGTTATAACTAACAGAAATAGCTACGAACTAATCGCTACAGTTAACTTAAGATCGCTAAAGCCATTTTGGGAACGTGCGGCTGACTCCGGTGCCGCCCACTACCTCACCAGGTGCGTGATTTCTCCTCACATCAGCACTTTTCTTGCACCCAATCAGCGCACACTCTTTGGCAACCACTCCTGGAAGGACAGCTATGACACCACTCAAATCCGAAGCTGAAGGCTTAGCAACTGCTGTCGACAAGCGTGACAAGCCTAGTAGTGATATCAGCCTGTAGGAGCTGTAGAGCATGAGCGGCGAAAACAGAAGCCCATAATCGATAAAGTTCAGACTGCTGCGACTTGTCAGCACAGGCAAGCCAATCTTAATCTCAATGCAAAGCGAGCACTAGTGGAACTCTGTGGTCATTGCCTAGAACAATTGAGCCTTGCTGCAATATCAGCCTTGCTGATAATCATTTGCCACTTAACTTTTTCAAGAAGCATCATCTGATGCCATGCTTGATTATTTAAAAAGCATATTCTTTGTTCTGCATAAGGCATTAGGGGCAATCTTGAACGCTACATGTGCCGAAACAGAGCATGTTCATTTGCTGTTAGAATTGATTGTGTTGAGATGTATTAGTGTGCAAAGTACCGTTGGAACTCTCAACTTTAAGTCTCATGCCTTCATTTGTACAGAGTTGAGGAGAAATGTAGAAGAGGCCATTGTCCTGGTTCTGGTGGGCAACAAGTGCGACCTGATGCAGCACCGCGTGGTTCATCGAGAGGTGGCAGAGAAGTACGCCCGAGACGTGGGGGCGTACTTTTCAGAGTGCTCAGCACTCAGCAATGAAGGTAGGTTGCCACAGCTAATAGCTCATTGCAGTTCTTCATAAAAAGTGTGCCCCCAGGAGGCTGTGCAGGAGGACCTTATTTAGAACAAGTAAAATTTCATAATCAAATGGTCTTCTTTTTAACAGTCTTTCAGTCAGATTTTGTGATCATAGCTATTGCTGTTTACTTCAGCTTTCATCATGTTTGGCAGACGAGGCACCATCGACATCCTTTCTGAGCAGCATAAGAGATATTGAAAAGTGTTTTATTTGTTCCCAGTTGAGGTTGAATTACAGCTTCCAAATTGTCGCAACCACCATGTCGGCATTTTCACGACCGGAAAGAGCATTATGGTTATCATAGCTGTGTAGTCATTTCAACAATGCTATTTTGCCATTCTTTCTGTAGCCTTCATTCTAATCGTCAGACCAGCTACTGTTTTAGTGCTAGCACTGAAGCTGTATATACAGCCTAAAAGCAGTTCATGTATCTAGTTGAATGTAGTTTTCTACGTGACCTACAATATTATTTTAGAGCTCTTCGTTTTCCATTTGCAACTATTTCCTTTTGTCGTGAAGTTTCACTGAATTGTAACAGCTCTAACAATTGCAGTAATAACGAGTGAAAGCTCTAATGTTAAAAAAAAAAAAGAAAGGCGTGAATTAAGTCAGGCCAACTTCCTCCTAATATTTTTCATGACGACATCACATTATTTCAGGTGCATAGCATCAGCCTGCGAGGCAAAACCACAATTTCTATACCTTTATTGGAAAAAAAGTGCATTATTTCATAATTTATCTTTATTCATAAATATAACGCTACTTATAAACTCATTTTTTGCATTTGAAGAAGAAAATGCTTACTGCAAAAATGTTACCACCAATAATGCTAACAGTTGTTAGTTGTATCCTACATTCTTAAAAAAATGCTGCAACACATATTGAAAATAGACGACACTGCTGATGTCTATTCGAGGCGCATTGCACACATCTGCTGAATATTGCAGTACTCTATGCAGCATGGAGTTTATAATTTTGCTTAAAGGCAACCAAAAATTGCTCGCAGTCCTGTCGGCAATCTGCACAGCTCACAGGAGCGATGACATGATCGGTAGGATGGGCACAGCCGTTGGGTGATTTCTTGATAACAAGAACATCCTCATGTAATACTCCTCTTCTTTGCTTTAAGAGAATGGAATAATAAATGTGTATTTCTGTATCTGCAAAGACACTGAAAAAAGTATCTCATCTTTGCAGTTCCAGTCTGCAATTCCATAGATTTGTTGACAATAAGCTCCATTGGTGAGGTTACTTTATGATTACTTCAAAAGATGTTGCAGTGTCCCTTAGCTGTCCATTTCTACAGTAGAAACAGATACTCGATATGGGTCAAAAACACAAAATGAGATAGATTACCATACAATGCTCCAATATTGATAACAACACACTCGTATCTTGTTAGCAGTTTATGGGACTTTCAGGACAACGTGCATCAACAAATAAAATGAGGTCCTTGTTTGGGCAACTGGTATACATGTTTTTTTGGCGACATCAAGCAGTCAAGTATTCCGCACTCCTGTGCTCGCTTATCTGATAATGCGGAAATCATTTTTATTTTGTAAACAGCAGATGTATTGCTGATGCCACCTTGATAGGGGCTATCTGGTTTTCTGGGGCGCTTTGAGTACCTATCCATGAGTGTTTATCTAAACTCTTTCCACTGTCACTTATCTAAGATCTGTGCGTATGCAGCCTTCTGAGCCTTTGTGCAGATGCAAAAGTGTCAAAGTTCGGCATTACGATAGCCTTTTTTTTTTTCCATCTTTTCACACACTCAAGTTCCAGTAGCAAGTCAGTGCACCCTTCTGTGATAGTTGTATCTGTGAATTTCCATTTAATTACATTTGGCATCCGTTTGTTGCACTAGTTATTTCAGTCTCAGAAGTATAAGGGCTAGTGCCCTTATACTTCTGCATGATTAAAGTTATCCCATTCTTTTAATCTCAACGTTAGCGTTCTCCGTATATTTAAAACTCTGAGGGTCACCCTGCAAGTTCCTTTTCAAGCGATTGCAGCATTAATAGTTCCAGTAGCAGCAGCGTCCTACTTCTTTCCAGCTCTCGCATAGCTAATGCATCGAACAGACTTCATCTTCCATTGAGGTAGCGCACATTAAAATAAGCGCAGCAAGAATTCAGCGTGAAAACAGTAGCCCACAATAAGTTATTACAGCTCTAATTTGATTTTAATGTGGGCTTTTCCTTTATTATTTTTAGAAAAATTTATCTGATGATTTCTCGGCTGGTGCAATCCAACACGAAATGAGAACCGTACGCCATTCATAACAATGTAGTTGTAGAGCAGAGCTCTTAAGGTCAAAGTTGGCTGTGTGTTATAGATAGACAATGATCATCATTATGAATTGGCATGAGTCATCTTCTTCCTCTTCGTCATCACTTTCCTGTTCTGCTTCATTATGAGGAGACGTGCACCAATTTTTCGTCCGAATAATTCAGTAACATTATGGGCAAGAGAACGAGAGAAAAAAGAAGACACTGTGATAGGAGAAGTATCATTTGCTGGCCATTTTACCATTAAAAGAACTATCATCATGTATAAATGTCAACATATTCATATGAATAAAATAAACTCTCCAGCCACTTGTAATCAAAGTTTAGGAAGTTAAAATTTAGAAATTAAAAATTGACTCCACGGTTCGAGACCGATTTGGTTCCTTCTTCTGGGGGGACTGTTCGGCCGGCTTTGAAGCTAGCGACTTTTCTTGCTGGTGTCCCCTCTCCATCATTATTCTTCCCGCCATTGTTGTTGCTGCGGTGTTTTTTTCACTGGTTCCGTAGACTATTCACGTTGACACTCACTAAGGTCCTAATTGAGCAGTATTTCCAGCAGTTGTTTGGATATGCCAGGACTTAAGAACAGTAAGGTTCTAGTTGAGCAATTAAATCCCAAAGAAGAGTTATTAGTAGAGCTCACAGAATGTAATAATTTAGGGATCTTGAAAACCTTCTTCAGAAAACGGGCTAACTGTAAGTGGATGTGGCAAATTTCTAATGGCGAAAATAAAAATGCAATAGACTTCATTCTGTGTGCACACCCAGGCATTGTACAGGATGTAGTAGTTGGCAAGATCGGATGCATAGAGCATAGAATGGCAAGAGCTCGTGTTCACTTAGATATAAATAAAAGCATAGGCATAAACTGATACGCAGAAAACCAATTAATGAGGTAGCGGTGAGAGGGAAAGTACAGAATTAGAAGTTTCGCTCCAGAATATATTGGAGCCTCTAAACAAGTTAACTGATGTTAGCATTGACACAATGAACAATAATCTTACTAGTATCATCAAAGAGTGGGCAATGGAAGTTCGAGGTACGGTCACTGGACAGGACACTAGCAAACTATCTCTGGAGACGAAAAATCTTAATATAAGATGACAAACCATGAAAGCCTCAAATGCAACCAACAATATGTAGAGCTAGTGGAGCTTTCGAAGTTGATCAATAGGCGCAAGGTAGCCAATATCAGAAGGTATAACATGGAGAGAATTGAGCGGGCTGTAAAAAGCGACAGAAGCCTAAAAGCTGCGAGGCAAACTTGTGCATAGGCAAACGTCAGATGTATGCACTAAGGGACAAAGAAAACAATGTCATAACCAATAGTAAAGATAGAATAGTTGATGTGGCGGAGGAGTTCTACAAAAAGCTCTACAGAAGCCGGAACAACCAGGATGATATCATGAGAAGCAATAATTGCCCAGAGGAATTTGACGTCCTACAAATAACAACAGGAGAAGTAAGGAAAGCCCTGAAAGGATTGCAAGGAGGCAAAACCGTTGGTGAGGATCGGGTAACAACGGACCTGCTGAAAGATGGCGGAGAAATTGTGTTAGAAAAACTGGCCACTGTCTCTGTCTCTTGATGAGAGGATGCCAGAATCTTGGAAGAAGGCCAACATCATTTTAATCCGTAAGAAAGGAGACGTCAAGGACTTGAAAATTTACAGGCCGATCAGCTTACTGTTCGTTCTGTACCAACTATATACAAAAATAATAGCTGATAGAATTAAGGCGACATTAGAGTTATATCTACAAAAAGGACAAGCAGGATTTCGTACAGGCTACTACACAAAAGACCATAGTCCTACTATCAATGAGGTAATGAAGAAATGTGCGGAATACAACGAACCCCTATGCATAGCTTTCATAGATTACGAGAAGGCATTTGAATCAGCTGAGATATCAGCAGGAAGGCAAGCACTATTGATTCGGGCCATCTGTGAACCCTACATAAACATACTGCAAGAAATCTTTCAAGCCGGCATAGTTCTTTATAAAGTAAGCGACAGGCTCCCAATTAGGAAGGGTCTAAGGTAGAGACACAATCTCTCCAATGCTATTCACCACATTTTACAGGAGGTTTTCAGGGCCCTAGATTGGGAAGAGTAAATGATAACAGTTAATGGACAGTATCTTGGTACCCTTCAATTTCGCTGATGGCATTGCCGTGATGAGTAACTCAGGGGCTCATGATTAGTGTACTGGACACGGAAAGCAGAAGAGTAAGTCTGAAAATTAATATGCACAGAACTAAAGTAATGTGCCACAGTCTCGGCAGAGAACAGCACTTTGCAATATGTGGAGAGATGCTGGAAGTTGTAGAGCAATTTGTCTACTTGGGACACGTAGTAACTGCGGAGCAGAATCATGAGAGTGAAATAACTACAAGAATAAGGATGGGATTTATCACATTCAGCTAGCATTCTCAAATCATGCATGGTAATCTGCCACTAACCGTCAAGAGGAAGGTATATAACAGCTGTATCTTGCCGGTACTTACCTACGGAGCAGAAACATACAGCCTTACAAAGAGGGTTCAGCTTAAATTGAGCACGACACAGTGAGTGATGGAAAGCAAAATGATAGGTGTAACCTTAAGAGACAAGAAGAGGGCAGAGTGGGTCAGGGAACAAATTGGGGTTAAGGATCTCATAGTTGAAATCAAG